TGTGTGTGTGTGTGTGTGTGTGTGTGTGTGTGTGTGTGTGTGTGTGTGTGTGTGTGTGAACAACGCCAGAGGGTTTTAAACAAATGATTCAAACGTGCATAAGGCAAGTGTTGGTAGTCAAGCATGTGACGAGTGGTGATTGATGGTGAAAAGAGAGCAGAGATTGTTTCAAAGCAGGAACACAACAGTGGTTTAATATTGCAAAATTAATCAATTCTGGAACTAATTCATCTGTAAGCAGCTCTACAGAAGACAATAGAGTCGTTACTCAGATCAGTGTCAGTGCTGCAAATCAAATTCTGTTCTCAGCACATGAAAGTGAATTTAGAGTCTGAAGTAACATGCAATGTTGAGTTTCTGATGTTCTTGATCACTGATCTGCAGCCTGTGAAGATCAAACCATCTCTGAAAATCTGCATGAATAAAGCCATGATTAAGCAAGCAGATGCTAGCTGTGAAGCTGCTGCAGTGCATTCTGGGAGTCTCACAGTTGGAGCTGTTGAAGTGTGTTTGACCAAAGCCAGACGTGATTCAGACATAATATCTCAGCTGTTTCTCCTGCACAGAATTAAGATTAAACAGAGAGAAATCAATGACTTCATCTTGCGTCTCCTGCTTAGATGTTCCTCCTCAGAGCCGCTCCACATTCATCTCACAGCTCTGGATGAATTACAGGAGGAATGTCTGAAATCATCCTCCTTCATTCAAACAGCTGCGAGCAGGACGACTCGTCGAGTCTCAGCCAGGGGCGTGTCTACGTGGTGGCCGGGGGTGGCACCGGCCCCCCCTGAAATTTGGTTGGCCATCCCAGGTGCCCCCCCCCACCAGATGTCTTGCGATAGGCTCGCGCGAGGATGAATATCTCCACTCTCACTTTAGTGAGTGCACACGATGTATTATAACCAGTGTTGGGGAAAGTTACTTTTAAAAGTAATGCATTACAATATTGCGTTACTCCATAAAAAAGTAACTAATTACATTACTTAGTTACTTTTTATGACAAAGTTCCGGAGAGTTTGATTCGTTCATTCACGGACGAACCGTTCAGAGGCTCGGAGACGCACGCGCGCGCTGATGATCTACAGACGCTCCACAACAACATCAGCTTCCTGCGACAACAGATGGTGAGTGGCGCGGTCCAAAGAGTCGTTTAGACCGATCCAAAAGAGTCGTTTAGACCGATCCAAAGACTCGTTTCGTTCAGTTTGTTCTGTTTAAAGTTCGTACGCGCGTTCAGTATCATCATCAGACATTTATCATGCATTTATGTCTGTCTGTAATCACAAAGTACATCTGTATAATAATGAACACACGTGCTGATGTGATTGGTCTCAGTGTTGTTTTTGTATTATTTATAAATAATTATAGTATTTTTTTTATATTATAAAAATAAAGGCTTCTCTGTTTATATATATATTTATGCTCAATTTTAATGTATTATAGTTTTAGTAATTTTATTATTTCAGCTTATTTTAGTCCAAATGTAAAGTCAACTTTTCAAATTTTTTTTGTTTTTTTATGTCATATTAATATTTTATTTCAACTATGTTTTAATACTTTTAGTAATTTTAGTTTTTCATCTTGTTTTATTTCAGTGAGTTGCCATGGCAACATTTCTAATCTTCATTAAAGTTTCACTTTTTCATTTGATATTTCTGCTTTATTTCAGGCAACAACAGCTGTTTGTGATAGTTTTTGTTTAGAGTGTTTGTTGTGTGTTGGTGATTTAGTGTTGAGGTCGTTGACCTCTGCGTTTCTCTGACTGGAGGACATTTTCAGGTCAAACCAGGAGCACATGAACACGATATATTCGCTGTTTGTCAAGGTGGATCGATTAGGTCCATGATCTACATTACGGGCTGCTTAAGAATAAGTGTGCACAAATTAGTGAAACTGCATGAACTTAAATAGTAATTTATGGAAACGCGATTGATTTGTTAGGTTATTTCAAGTAAGGTTTAGGACTTTAATCCCCGCTTTTCTAAGCGTCTTTTATGAAACAGGTGAGTTGTGGTTCGTCAGATACCAATTGCATTTTTACCGATGCAAACATGATAGAAACGATGCATCGCGATACTAATGCCAACTTGTAGCCGATGCACACTTTTTAAAGCGATGCATCGCATCGTTAACTTTTATACCGATGCGAATCGGAGAATCTTCCCATCCCTAGTGTTTGTGTGTGTGTAGAATGTCATCAAGGATGCATTAAATTGATCAAAAGTGACAGTAAAGACATTTACAATGTAAAGATTTCTATTTCAAATAAATGCAGTTCTTTTGAACTTTCTGTTAAACTCTGAATCCTGAAAATTTAATTAAATCACATGCCGATGCACCGATGCGAATCGGAGAATCTTCCCATCCCTAGTGTTTGTGTGTGTGTATAATATGTCATCAAGGATGCATTAAATTGATCAAAAGTGACAGTAAAGACATTTACAATGTAAAGATTTCTATTTCAAATAAATGCAGTTCTTTTGAACTTTCTGTTAAACTCTGAATCCTGAAAATTTAAATGTATCACGGTTTCCACTAAAATATTGTGCAGCACAACTGTGTTCAACATTGATAATAATCAGAAATGTTTCTTGAGCAGCAAATCAGCATATTAGAATGATTTCTGAAGATCATGTGGCACTGAAGACTGGAGTAATGATGCTGAAAATACAGCTTTGATCACAGAAATAAATTACAGTTTAACAGATATTCACATAGAAAACAGCTGTTTTTAAGGTAATAATATTTAGTATTTTTTATAGCATTTTGATCAAATAAATGCAGCCTTGGTGAGCAGTTTTGTGGATAGAGCTGCTGTAGTGTTTCTGACGTGTTTCTCGGTCACAGGCTCTTCTGCGCGCCATCGACGTCACACTGATGCATCAGCTGCTGTCCATCAACGAGGGCATCGAGTCGATCCGCTGGGTGATGGAGGAGCGCGGGGGCGGGGCCAGCCGCGAGGGCAGCGTGACGGACAGCTTGTGCAGCCTATCAGACGGCGCGGAGTCTGAGCGCGGCTCCTGCAGCGACGGGCTCGACGGGATCTCGCTGGGCAGTTATCTGGACACGCTCGGGGAGGACGAACCCGAACGCTCCTCGCCCGCAGACCTCTCCAGAACCGGCATGGACGAGGAGACGCTCACGAAATCTCCTCTACGGCCTCGCGTGGAAACCGACGAGTACTACTGCTTCGGATAGCGCTAACGTGTGCTTGAATAAAGACATCTGACCCGAATCCAAATGGAAAGCATATATATGACCCTGGAGCACAAAACCAGTCATAAGGGTCAATTTTTTTAAATTGAGATTTATACATCATCTGAAAGCTGAATAAATGAGCTTTTCATTGATGTATGGTTTGTTAGGAGAGGACAATATTTGAAAATCTGGAATCTGAGGGTGCAAAAAAATCTAAATATTGAGAAAATCATCTTTAAAGTTGTTCAAATTAAGTTCTTAGCAATGCATATTACTAATCAAAAATTAAGTTTTGATATATTTACAGTAGGAAATTTACTAAATATCTTCATGGAACATGATCTTTACTTAATATCCTAATGATTTTTGGCATAAAAGAAAAATGTATAATTTTGACCCATACAATGTATTGTTGGCTATTGCTACAAATATACCCCAGCGACTTAACACTGCTTTTGTGCTCCAGGGACACATATGCTCTTCACAAATTGTTTTAGGAAATCATTATAGTTAAGCAGTTGCGACTGATTTAGCTCACGCTTCTCGTTCTAAAGTGAACGGTGAAGTTTTTTTCTAAGTCATCGATGTTTGGGTTTGACTTCAAGTCAAAGTGCAGTAAGTAGCACTGACTTTCTAAACGTCTCTTAAGAGAAGCGGCTTCAAAAACCAGACCGCTCCTTGAACCTGATCGTAAACCGTGCTAATCTGTTCAACCCTTTGTCTTAAATGTGAGAATCCGTCTCTAGTCGATGGATTGGTGCATTTGCTGCGTTCACACTCACTCAGTCCGGTTTGAAAGCTGAATTCAGTTCAAACACAGTTTAGTGACTATCCACATTCTCCAGGAGTGTCTCCATCAACAGTTTACAATGAAATGGCTTAAACAGAGTCTCGGCGGGTCTTAAAAAGTCTTAATGAACATTTTCACAAATCAGGCTTGAAAAGGTCTTAAATCAGAAAGTCTCAAAGTCGTAGAATTAAAGGTTGCACGTACTGCAACACATGAATCCTCAGTGTTTTTGTCTGGTTTTCCAGTACAAATATCTGAACATCCTGGAGATGCAAAATGAAGACTTGGGGAATGAAAACTTGTTTTCCCTTTGAATTGAGCTTCAAAGAAATCCAGCCACAGGCTCTTGAGTTTGACTTCAGTGTTGTGCCGTATTAACTGAAACGAATTGTTGAATAAGAAATCAGACACTAGTTTAATTTCAGCGCAGTTCTTCACCGTCTCCGCCTGTCAGAGAAGAAACGCCATGCCAGCTGTTTTTTTTTGTATTTAGACTAAAGTCAAATCGACCTGCGAAGGCAAACTCATGCGTTTTGTTTTGTTTTTCCGTCTGTGGATTAATGTCAGGATTTCTTCACCATAAAAGACTGTTTTGATTGTAATGATAGCTATATTGGCGTTCACACCAACGTACAATAACTTTATTATAAGCACGCTGAAGTTTTGTCATCTGTAAAGCAGGGTGGATTCTGATTGGCTATCAATGTTAAATTTATCCACTGGGAAAAAAAATTAAAAGTTCTCTGCAAGTTATCAATGACAGCGGTTGATCAGTAAGATCGTGAAACTACTGAGCGTTAACTAATGTTGTCTTTCGTTACGTTTTTTGTGATTTGTGGAAAAAGAGCAGACGGGATCAGACTGAACACTTTCCCTTCCCAAACACGATTAAACACGATTGTTTTACCTGCCATTACTTATAAAAACAGCGACACTTCCACTTGGAGCCAATCTGAGATAGACTAGAATGAATGAACGCAAACTTACTCTTAACCTTCTCTTTATTTGATCAAATTATGATCACTCAATACTCCTTAAACCACCTCAGCCCTACTCAATATTTTATATTAAAGTGCCCGTTATGGGTTATGAAAGGTTCATATTTTGGCTTTGGGAGTCCCCAACAACAGGTTGACATGCATGCAAGGTCAAAAAACACTTTCATCGTCTTATAATATATGCATTTATTATTACCTTACTTGCTCAACGACTCCCAAACTATTCGTTTAACGATTCATTTTTCCAAACCGCTCCTTTGCGTGACGCTAATCTGCGGTGATTGGTCCGATTGGATCTCGCCTGTAATACCTGATAAAGCGGCGTTTGTGAGCGCAGTGCTGCTTTGTGTAGAGCGTTGCCGGGGAAACCGCTATTTTTACCGCTCTAAAAGCGGCACCTAGTGGCAAAGAATGAATTTGCATTTTTATTCAGGCCAACGCGAAAAGACCAACACGTGGGCGGGGCAATATGCTAATGTCTCATGTTGATGTCAACATGAAACGGCTTGGGATTAGTTTTAAAAACGACTCGTTTCAGTGATTCAGAGTCGACTTTCTTTTAGAGACAATAACTTTATACACGGTGCACGTTCAGATTTAAAACTTTGCAGGATGTTTTCATTCACTGAGAGCTGTGTTACACACGGCATGAAAGGTAATAAAAAAAAATAAATCCATAATAGGGGCACTTTAAAGTAAAAATGTAATACTCAAATTAGGGCTGCACGATTATGACAACAATCAAATGTCAACTATACATCGGATTGGTTTCTCTTTAAATAAAAATGTAAAAACATGCATGGTATTATAATGTTATACTAAAATTAAAATTAAAACAATGGAAAAACCCTTAAGATAACATTTAGAAAGAAAAAAAAAACATCTTAAGCATGCAGAATAACATAAGTGGACTTTGAACGATTAATTGCTGCTTTGAACGATTGTGTAATTGCGGCATCCGTAATTGTAATTGCGATTAGAAATTCGATTAATTGTGCAGCCCTAACTCAAATATAATTGCATCTTTAACAGGAAATACTACTTCAGTTTTCTGACTGAATGAAACATCTTCGCCGCCTTTAACACTGCTTAATGTTGTTAAATGCGTCTGAAATGCAGCCGTCGCTCACTGACCATCAGATTGATCACGTCTGGCTCACATGCTAATGCTAATGCTAATCCTCACACGTTTACATTGACAGCTCTCGGTGCTCTGCTGATGTGTGAACCTACAGGATTTACAGTGATGTTTCGAGCGCTTTCGCGTTGAAGTGCAATCCCTGCTCATGCCAAAGCTAGTTAACGACTCTTTAATACGTTTAACTAACGTTTCCTTCAGGTTTGACTCTTCACTGCAATAATGAGATTGCTCTTACTTGAATCTGTGATGTTTTCAAGTGGATTCAGTAACTTTATTTTAACACAGATATGCTATTTTGAGAACTGTAATGTCACAGCAGGCTTTTCCCTGATAGCACATGTACATCTCGGAGACGTCTATTTGACGTCTGCATTACATCTGCGAGACGTAATTTTTATAGTGTTTGCTCATCTGCAATACGTCTATAGATATACGTTTAGAAGATGTCTTTAAGATGTTTATGATTCAGAACGCATGTAAAACTGACATCTTAGAGACGTCTGTCAGATGTTTGCACACAGCAGATGCTTTCCAGATGAAGAGATATTTAACAGACATGTTGCATGGGGTTTTTGCTGTTATTTTGTGTTGGTGATGAAATGGCGTGTTTGTTATTTGTGCTGCTATTTCATTTGTTTCTGTTTGTGTGCTTGATTGATTGCATACGCCTAATTTATTGTTCATTTTCAACTTTGTTTTTGGGGAAATGTCATACTACATTGTGACTTATTTTGTCTGTCTGTATTTTTTTTTTGAAGCACAAAGTCTTATAACGAAATGTTTTAATGTGAAATAAAACTGCATAATTACAAATGGCTGAGAGAGGAGTTGGAAATAAGCATTACTTTATGACACAGCAGAGAAAATGGCATTCACGCATGCAGTGGCGCTCAGTTCTTCCGTGCACAGAGTCTCATTGATTCACTGCACAAAGAGTCGAGTTCAGTCAATGCAACAGATTCATAATCTGCATGACTCCTTCTATTCATGAGTGCTACCCACGCTAACAGAGATAACGACGCGTTTGATGCTGTTTGCATGTGTTTAGCAGACAGATTACGCTATGATAATAACTCATTTACACAATGTGTGAAACTGTTTCTCCATGAACTTGAGAAAGCCTGACTAGAACGGTAGAATGTGTTCATTCTTGAAGTAGTTTGAATAAGTAGTAGCTTTAAAAATTTGAAGCTGGAAATTGTAATGTGGTGCCGTCTGCGTTTCAAAAACGTAGCATGTTTTAGAACTTTGCAAACATGTTTTAACGTTAATAACACGTTTAACTCATTGCTGACATGTCTCAACATTGCTAGCATGTTTTGGCACACTCCTTACATGTATATAAGACTGGAAATACTAGATGTAAAGGAAGCTTACACGAGTCCCAAAGGGATTCTGGGAGTTCAGATTAGAATTTTTGAAAATGAGTCTTGGCTCATTTGAACATTCTATGGGATTTTTCCCAGTTTTATCACCAGCTCGGCTGCTGCCTGATACTATAGTCTGATGATTATTTCCATGCACATAAAGAGCTGCATTGATTCAGCATGAATGCGTGAGCAGACGCAGCGAGCGTGCAGAGACATGCTCATGTCACACAATGCCGTCTGATCGCAGGCCTTCAGCAAAGAACAAACATGAGATCGTCAATATCAGGGTATGCTCTCTGAACCGCTCGGTCAGGTTTCCCATCATGCCTGAGAAATCCCCATATGATGACAGAACTTCATACTGTGTGACGTTCATGTGGAGAACGTAGAAATGTTGTCAAAGCACTCTGTGTGCATGTGAATGGAGAATCTGCGGTTTATTTATAGACGCGTACCTGCTTCTGCGTTCAGTTTTACTGTAGTAATTACACATATATGAATTAAAGTGGACAGAATTGACTGCAGTTCAGTCCGGCTGTGACACGGGAAGACCAACTGGATATTTTTACCCAGTAAAATAAACTGTGTGTAAGAGTCCGTCGTCGCTTGCCAATGTTTAACGACAGATTACAGAGTTCTGGAAAAAAAAATCTTTCTACAGAACTTTCTCTCTACAGCGACTGATTTGGAAGAGATCAAAATAGTTTGAAAAATGAAAAATTCACATGAAATAAAAAAAAAAAAAGTGTTTATTTTTACTAGGTGTCAGTGTGTAGTACAATACAAATGAAGCACATGATGAGGAA